CCCTTTGCAATCCGCTGTAAAAGTATGAAAAAAAGGATAACATATACTGCACATTTGTGGTCTGTTCTCCCGAATTTAATTTACGATATGTTCCATGAATAATTCACTAGAATGGACGAAGAATCTCTCGTTATCCTCACGTCTCTTCCCAGGTTTGTTTTCACAGGTAAATGCAATTTACAATCTGTCAAAATGACGGAAATCACGTAATGCTGAAGTTAATGAACATTTTTGATTAAGGCAACATAAGTTACATAATACAGATTTTAGACCACCACTGTGATATTTAACCAAAGACTCGGTCTGTTGAAAGTACCCTGTTGATGCTTTTACACTTTTAAATGTCCTTTTAATGTTCGATGGTTGAAGGGTAAGTCGATCTCATTGTGACTCTTTTTAAACGTATTGTGTTCATAGGGCGATCCTTTCACTGATTGTTTACAGCTTAACGGAAGTTACACCGCGCAGCGCGTCTTGTGGCGCAGGAATAAGGTGGATAAGATGTGCTTTGTTTATATGTGAAAAAAATGCTAAATTTGTATTTGTTTATCATATAAAGCGGCCGATCGCGTCTCGTTTGAAGACTTGGACTGAACCTGCTCGCTCCGCAACACTTCAGCTGAAGTCTTCCAAACCTTACGTTATACTTATAAATGACAGTTAAGGGGCTTTATGCAACACTTATCGTTTTTAGGAGATTACTGAAGGGAAAAATGGATATTTAAGGGAAACTCTTAAGGCCTTTGCACACTGAGTCCGAAATATTCGTATGTGTTTTTTCGTATTCGTGATTCGGTGGCTCTGAATTGTCAAAACACCCTTCAAACTGCGAAAAACACAGAAAATCAAACCCGATTCGATTTTTTTAAATGACGGACGAAAGTTTCGGAGGCGGTGTGCGAGCGTGATTGACATAACGTCAGCTAGTATTTATTTTTGAACGTGTGAAAATGTCGGACGCAAATTTCGGACTCCGTGTGCAAGGGCCTTTAGGGTGTATGACGTTTCACTTAAAGAAACTGTTATTATTCGCAACACCCTTAAGTTTAAGGGAAACCTAAGGGCGTTCTTAAGGGGAAATTACACTTACGGTGCTTTAGCCTAGTTCACAGGATTTAAAGGTTAACGAGTTCGCCGACAGGTCGCGCTGTAATCGCGTGCAACTCTGCGGGTCATCCACGCTCGCCAGTCTTTGTGTGAAATACTAGACGACACATCAGAAACACTCGCCGACGCCAGACGAGTATCTAGCATGCTAAACATCTGGAGCTGTCGGCCGACTCCATAGCCTTTCGTAACCCCAACTCACAATCCGGCTGATTCACAGGTTCTCTACTGGACCAAAGGTTTTCAGTGGGTCAATAACCAAGAAGACACTCGAGTCCCCAAAACTCATTAGATATAAATGTAACATTTTTATTTATTTTTTACACAATCATAATATTAAAACCCAGGGGCAGCAGGTTAATGCAATCATGACGGGTACAATTCAACTATTCGGGTATTTGTAATTATTGATAGCCAGCAATAAGTTAACTTAGAGAATAATAAGACCTCAACAAACAGGATAATATATTCAGCACGGGTCTTGAACAGAGTCCAAATAAATAGTATTTTTTAAAAATAGTAGGGGGACAGTCCTCGGATGAGCTGCTAAGTGTGCAGCACTTTGAGATTAAATAAAATAATTGTAATCCATCATCATCATCTTCCTCATTCACAGACACTTTCACAAATTTATAAATATCTGTCAACAAAAATGTTTACTAGTTGATTATATTTGCTTGTCAGTTGTTGTGAATTTGTTTTCAGAGTTGATTTGAGTTTTTCAAAGGTCAAAGTCCCATTAGTTAACATTAGTTAATGCGTTAACTAACGACGAGCAATACATTGTAGTATTTTTGCTATTTTATTTGTAGTATTTTTTATTAAACAGTCGGTAACACTTTATTTTACAGTTTCCGTGTTACATAGGTTACATGTACCATAGTAATAACTGTAAATTACACACAACTAACCCTCAACCTACCCTAACCCTATAGTCAGCACATGTAGTTACTTAATATTACTCAGAACATAAATATATAATTACACTGTAACAATGACACCTTAAAATAAAGTGTAACCAAACAGTCTTATTCAGTAAAGGTGCTTTAAATTGATCAAAAGTGACATTTATAATGTAACAAATAATTCTATTGCTGTTTCAATTCATCAAAGAATCCTGAAAAATAAAATGTATCACAATTTCCACAAAAATATGAAACTGTTCTCAACACTGATAATAATCATAAATGTTTCTTGATCATCAGATCCTCATATTAGAGTGATTTCTGAAGGATCATGTGACACTGAAGACTGGAGTAATGATGCTGAAAATACAGCTTTGATCACAGGAATAAATTACACTTTACTGTATATTCACATAGAAAACACTGGAATAATATTTCACAATCTTTACAGTATTTTTGACCAAACAAATGCAGCCTTTGTGAGCAGAAGAGAGAGAATTATATATAATTTCATATAAGACTATTATATCACATTGATTGATATTATGTTGGTTGACACGTTTTGCTGTAATTGCATATTTATGAATGTTACTGTACACACTATTTGGTGTATATGCATATTTAATCTACTTTACATCTACTTTATTAGATGCATTACAGCTTCTATAAATCAAATCAGGTGTTATTGTCTATACACATTATAAACTAGTGCTGGGCAACGATTAATCAAATAAAAGTGTGTGTTTACATAATATATGTGTGTGTGCTGTGTATAATTATGTTGTACAGGTGAAATTCGAAATATTAGAATATCGTGCATTTATTTCAGTAATTCAACTTAAAAGGTGAAACTAATATATTATATAGACTCATTACATGCAAAGTGAGATATTTCAAGCCTATATTTGTTATAATTGTGATGATTATGGATCACAGCTTATGAAAACCCCAAATCCAAAATTAGAATATTGTGAAAAGGTTTTCATATCTGTACGCCATAATCATCAAAATTATAACAAATAAAGACTTGAAATATCTCACTTTGCATGTAATGAGTCTATATAATATATTAGTTTCACATTTTAAGTTGAATTACTGAAATAAATGCACGATATTCTAATTTTTCTAGTTTCACCTGTATATATAAAAACACATATGCATGTATATATTTTAGAAATATTATACATATTTTAATGCATTAAATACAATATTTGCATGCATAATTTATATCAATATAAATATTATATATATAAGCGGTTGCAGCGTGCTCTCAGCCGCGTCTCCTAATAGAGTCGCCAGAGGACTGGCGTGTAACGGCTTCGCTCGCTCGCGCTGGGATCTTGGCGAGTGTTGGTTTTGCTCTTTCGTGTGTGTGTGAGGATCAGTGAAGCAGAGAGAACCTGAGAGCGTCAGATGGCCATTCACTTCTATTGTGTCTTTAACTGTATTCTCCTCGTCTGGGACGTGGGCTTTACGCCACTATTGAGAGCATTAGCTCACAGTTTTGGGCAGGTTTTGCTCTTTTTTAGGCCAACTTGAGGACTGGAGGTGCGAAAGCCCTTGAGAAAAGCAGTTAGTGAACTGTGAACCGCATCAAATCCCCGGCGCCTTGCGGTTCTGGGTTTGTCCGTGGACAGACACCGAAACTGTCTGATTGTTCAGTAAAAATTAAGAATATAATCCTATTGAAGTAAATCTTTGGTCATGCTAAACTCTGACTGCTTTTGAGCGGCTCAGATCGAGCGCTTTGACGGAATCGGCTCCCGCTATAATTTACATGTTATATTTGAGCGCCGTGAACTCGTTACATAAGAAAAGAGTCGTGGAAAATCAAGCCTTTCTTCATATTCATAAGATTAATTTATTTGCGCTTTTGTGGGGTTGGGTTATACATGAACTTATGAAATCACACCTGCTTTCACTGAAACTCATCCATTATTGACCTTAAAAGTTCATATTTTAGATGTGTTTGAGAAGTCGTGCATCATAGTGTGTGCGGCGTCTTAATAAGAAGAACAAAAACATAAAGCAGCACAACATAATCATAAATGTTTCCTGAGCATCAGATCCTCATATTAGAGTGATTTCTGAAGGATCATGTGACACTGAAGACTGGAGTAATGATGCTGAAAATACAGCTTTGATCACAGGAATAAATTACACTTTACTGTATATTCACATAGAGAACAGCTGATTTACATTATAATAATATCTCACAATTTTTACTGTATTTTTGATCAAATAAATGCAACTTTGGTGGAGAAATATATATAATTTCATATAAGACTATTATATTACATTGATTAATATGATGTTGGTTGACATGTTTTTGCTGTAATTGCATTTTTATGAATGTTACTGTACACACTATATGGTGTATATGTATATTTAATTAAATCAACTCATTGAGTCTACTTTATTAGATGCATTACAGTAAAAGCTTCTATAAATCTAATCAGGTGTTATTGTCTATTATATACATTATAAACTAGTGCTGGGCAACGATTAATCGCATCTAAAATAACAGTGTGTGTTTACATAATATATGTGTGTGTGCTGTGTATAATTATGTTGTATATATAAAAACACACATGCATGTATATATTTTAAAAATATTATACATATTTTAATGCATAATATATTTTATATATATATTTATATATATATATATATATATATATATATATATATATATATATATAAATAACACATTTTTCTTAAATGTGTGCAGGCATGTGTGTGCATTTATATATACAAAATAATTATACACAGCACACACAAACACAAACTTTTATTTTGCATGTGATTAATCGTTGCCCAGCACGAATTATAATTAAAAAACAATTAAAAATTGCACCTTTTTTGGGCTCTGAATACACAGACCAGAGATCAGAAACCCAGCGCTGCTTTGAGATGTTATTGTGTGATACGAACTCTCTCTCTCTGTGTGTGTGTGTGTGTGTGTGTGTGTGTGTGTGTGTGTGTGTTTCAGGCTCTTGGGTGTTGCTACTTCCTCCATGAATCCTTGAAAAACATCCAACAGTTTGATTTCAAAGGTACGTGTGTCTCTTTAATCAATCCCATCAAAACCAGCGGTCAAGGTTGTTCCAGAAGCTATAAAACATGCTTAGACGGAGTTGCCGATAGGAAACAGTAATGCTTATTAATATTAGGATTTAATTCATGAGATTTCAGGCTGTGGTAATAGTGCACTCAAGCTATTGGACAGTTAGCAGCGGTGACCTCATCAGCGGTAGGGGTCAGAGGTCGCGTGTCCCGCCGGTCACACTAATTAAAGCCACTCCCATTACACCGGTGTCAGCATTAGCATTAGCCGGACCGGCTCAGACCCGTGATCACACTCTTCATCAAACCTCCCCTCAGAACCACTCGACTAAACAGCAGATTACACCTTTAAGACTGGAAACATTTAAAGCAATTTCAAGGATTTGTACATCATGGTTTAATTTGTATTTATAACTGAAAGAAGTTAAAAAGTAAAATATACTTTCACTGTATTACTGTAATGGGAATTACATTTATATTAATAAAAATTAGATTATAAATGGATAATCATTTTAATGCAATTACACATAGTATTATTTTTTCCTTTTCCCTTAGTTTTATATTTGTTTAATTTATGCTGATATAAATGTAAAAAAAATATATAATTTTATTTTGTATATATATATATATATATTAGGGGTGTAACGGTACATGTATTCGTATTGAACCGTTTCGGATCGAGGCTTCCGTTTCACAAACCGAACGATTCCTTGGACCATTTTTCCTGCCGACAAAATTCGCGCTGGCGCGATCACCACAATGTTGCGCAACATCAAATGGCAAGCGTAATGAAAGCGGAACGAAACTGCGCCACTCATTATGTGCTTCACGGACCATTTATCAGTTCGGACCAGCAACATCTGTGCAGCGCGAGCCGATCTCGATCAAGCGACACTGTGCTTAGAGATCCAGTGAAGAAAACATTTGAGTTCGCCACTGAAGTAATAACATCGCTGCGAGATCTAGAGAAGCGTTCACATTTCTCCGTTATTAACCGTAGATCTCTATTAGATCAAACAGCGCTGACGTGGACACCAGGAGAAATATTGTGCCGTGAATGAACTAAGTTAGTAATACTTTACGTCCACAGACCAGCAACATTCACCATAACTGTAACCAGTTTGGCTGGAATAGTGAAATGCTTTCAAGTACTTCACACATCTTTTTCCAGCACTTCAAAACTCAAATATTATATAAATAAATATATGAAGAGTTCAGATGCAAAAGCCTCTATAAGTGCCATTTGAAATTTTCTTCTAGAATGATCATTTTTATGAAGCTTGTATATTTAAGTTCAGTAATTTCACTCAAATGACAATTAATAGGTAATCTTCATTGCCATTTAAGTGAAATTACTGAACTTAAATATACAAGCTTGATAAAAATAAAGAAAATTTCAAATGGCTTTTGCATCTGAACTCTTTATATATTTAAATGTTATTTTTAATGTGATGACCAAAACATTATTTGTTCATCCTTCAAAGATGACACCCATTTATAAACCTGAAAGTTTCAAGATGTAGGAAAACTCACAATTATTTAAAAAATATTTTTTCTTTTAACAAATAGGAAATTTCTCTGGCATTTCTTACTTTTTGCTGTATCGAAAACGTACCGAACCGTGACTTTAAAACCGAGGTACGTACCGAACCGTGACTTTTGTGTACCGTTACACCCCTAATATATATATATATATAAAATATATAATTATTTAAAAAAGATTATTAAAAAATGATAATTATTGTAGCATACACTAAAAGGTAAAATTAAGTGTGTGTGTATATATATAACACATTTTTAAGTAAAATATACTTACATATTCATGCAAATATAATTTATATATTTTATTTTATGCAATTACGCACAGTATTATTTTTTCTTTTTCCTTTAGTTTTATATTAGTTTAATTTATGCTGATATAAATGTAAAAAAATTATCATTTTTATAGTTAAAAAATGACAATGAGAATTATGCAAAAACTCAAAAGTAAATATATGTATATGTGCGTATATATACACGCTTTTTTTCTTTTTTCCTGTGGTTTTGCATTATACGTTGAGTTTTGAAGACTGTGAATGCTCCACTGTAAATGCAAAAATGACATCAGATATAAGAGAAACTTATCATTCCTCACTGGATTGTCAGGATTGATTCCTCATTTCTGTGTTTCAGCAGTAGGTGGCGCAGTTGCCCTGAGCTCGTACTCTAATGAGCTCGTACTCTAATGAGCTCGTACTCTAATGAGTGTGTCTGCATGTTCACATGATGATCAGCTTGTGTTGTGTTTCAGCCAAGAAGTTCAAGAAGGTGTTCGGGAAGGAGATCCACTGTGACGCTCTGAGCTCAGCCTCACTGGAAAAGGAGAAGTTTCCTCAGGACTATTTCCCGGAGGTGAGTCACATGACCGTTCTACTGCTGCGAACTGCTGCGTCACATGACAGTTCTGCTGCTGCGTCACATGACCATTCTGCTCCTGAGTCACATGACCGTTCTGCTGCTGCGTCACATGACCGTTCTGCTGCTGTGTCACATGACCGTTCTGCTGCTGCTGTCACATGACCGTTCTGCTGCTGCGTCACATGACCGTTCTGCTGCTGTGTCACATGACCGTTCTGCTGCTGCTGTCACATGACCGTTCTGCTGCTGCTGTCACATGACCGTTCTGCTGCTGCGTCACATGACCGTTCTGCTGCTGTGTCACATGACCGTTCTGCTGCTGCTGTCACATGACCGTTCTGCTGCTGCGTCACATGACCGTTCTGCTGCTGCTGTCACATGACCGTTCTGCTGCTGCTGTCACATGACCGTTCTGCTGCTGCGTCACATGACCGTTCTGCTGCTGTGTCACATGACCGTTCTGCTGCTGCTGTCACATGACCGTTCTGCTGCTGCGTCACATGACCGTTCTGCTGCTGTGTCACATGACCGTTCTGCTGCTGCTGTCACATGACCGTTCTGCTGCTGTGTCACATGACCGTTCTGCTGCTGTGTCACATGACCGTTCTGCTGTTGCGTCACATGACCGTTCTGCTGCTGCGTCACATGACCGTTCTGCTGCTGCGTCACATGACCGTTTTGCTGTTGCGTCACATGACCGTTCTGCTGCTGCGTCACATGACCCTTCTTCTGCTGCTGCGTCACATGACCGTTCTGCTGCTGAGTCACATGACCGTTCTGCTGCTGCTGTCACATGACCGTTCTGCTGCTGTCACATGACTGTTCTGCTGCTGTGTCACATGACCGTTCTGCTGCTGTGTCACATGACCGTTCTGCTGTTGCGTCACATGACCGTTTTGCTGCTGCGTCACATGACCGTTCTGCTGCTGAGTCACATGACCGTTCTGCTGCTGAGTCACATGACCGTTCTGCTGCTGCTGTCACATGACCGTTCTGCTGCTGTGTCACATGACTGTTCTGCTGCTGTGTCACATGACGTTCTGCTGCTGTGTCACATGACCGTTCTGCTGCTGTGTCACATGACCGTTCTGCTGTTGCGTCACATGACCGTTCTGCTGCTGCGTCACATGACTGTTCTGCTGCTGCGTCACATGACCGTTCTGCTGTTGCGTCACATGACTGTTCTGCTGCTGTGTCACATGACCGTTCTGCTGCTGCGTCACATGACCGTTCTGCTGCTGCGTCACATGACTGTTCTGCTGCTGTGTCACATGACCGTTCTGCTGCTGCGTCACATGACCGTTCTGCTGCTGCGTCACATGACTGTTCTGCTGCTGTGTCACATGACTGTTCTGCTGCTGCGTCACATGACCGTTCTGCTGCTGCGTCACATGACTGTTCTGCTGCTGTGTCACATGACCGTTCTGCTGTTGCGTCACATGACCGTTCTGCTGCTGCGTCACATGACTGTTCTGCTGCTGTGTCACATGACCGTTCTGCTGCTGCGTCACATGACCGTTCTGCTGCTGCGTCACATGACTGTTCTGCTGCTGTGTCACATGACCGTTCTGCTGTTGCGTCACATGACCGTTCTGCTGCTGCGTCACATGACCGTTCTGCTGCTGTGTCACATGACCGTTCTGCTGCTGCGTCACATGACCCAGGAGCAGGGTATATATATATATATTTTTTTATGACATTGTTTTTTTGGTTTATTTTAATATTCATTTAAAATACTTTTTATATGAATAAAAAATCAATTCAGAAAAAATATGAAAAGATGTTTCAAAAGTTACCTTCAAAAGTTACATACAATTATATTTAACTTTTTTTTTTTTTTTTTTTTTAAAGGTGTTTATATCTTGGAAATTAATGGAATATTGGAGTAATTATCATTTAGTTTATGGATGTCCTGATCCTGTTTCTACAGAAAGAGTGAATTACAGAATTCAGATGATCAGGTGTGTGTGTGTGTGAGTGAGTGAGCCTGTGTGTGTGAGTGAGTGAGTGAGTGAGTGAGCCTGTGTGTGTGTGTACGTGAGTGAGTGAGTGAGAGAGTGAGTGAGCCTGTGTGTGTGTGTGTGACAGTAGGGCTGATGTATTAATAAAGCATGTGTATCTCTCTCTCTCTCTCTCTCTCTCTCTCTCTCTCTCTCTCTCTCTCTCTCTCTCTCTCTCTCTCTCTCTCTCTCTCTCTCTCTCTGCTTCAGTTCCTCAGAGAAACAGTAAATATATGCAGAAACAGCTTTTCTTTCACGCGCTGATACAGATTTACACTGCGCTCCACTTTATCTCCGGTGCGAGCCGCATCTCCACACGACGAGAAAACGATCACGTCTACACACACGCAACACACCAACAACCGGCGTTCAGACGCAAAACAGAAGGAGAAAAGTTTGCGTATTGATTTATGTTCGTCTCATGAATCTCGTGCGACTCTCAGGAGAGCATCACTCCTCATAATGTTAGCCCGTTTAAAGCAGCAGATTTGTGTAGTCTATCAAGGGCTTTCTCACACACACACACACACACACACACGTGCGCGCTCAGTACTGAGAAATTGGTTGTTATCGTAGATCACAGATACGGCTCGAACCTCTTATGAAAGATGAATTAATTTCACTAATGCTTTAATGCAGGTTCCTCAGGCTGGCGATAACCTCGGCTTCATCCGTGATTTATGTCGACTTTTAGTAGATGAAACCGCCCGGATTCGCCATCCATCTGTTCCCTACAGGAATCCTATTAACCGGGACGGGACCGAGTGTTTGGACCGATGTCCCGGACGCTTTTAGCCTCTGCTCGCGTGTGTGTTTCGCGCTGTTACAGTTTGAGGGATGTGTTTTCACACCTGAGATTTATGATTTATGATATAATCTGGCCAGATGCGATCTGAGTGACGTAATCAGATTACAAAAGAAAGCACGTTTTAAAATACTCTGTTACTTTTTTCATTGATTACATGATTGCATGTTTTCATATCCAGTGACCTTCCCTAATTATTGATTCTGGAAATTAAAAAAAATTATAAACTGGAAGATTTTGTCCCGTGATGTCATCGCTGTTTGTTAATGTTTGTTCGTGTAAAGTGATTCACAAATGTTTTTCTCAGCCGAACCTGACAAATAAATATGAATATATAATAATATTTTAATATTATAGAAATATTTACAACTGAGATATTAAAATTAAATTTTCAATACATTTTTTCACGCTGTTACAGTTTGAGGGATGTATTTTCCTCCCGTTTGATTTATGATATAATCTGGCCAGATGCGGTCTGAGTGACGTAATCAGATTTGTAATTAGATTATATTGCGTTTTAAAATACTCTTAAGTTACTTTTTTATTGATTACATATTTTCATATCCAGTGACCTTCCCTAATTATTGATTCTGGAAATTTGGACAAAAAAATACAAGACACAGCTGGGGCAAATCAGAACAACGAGCGGGACCATACAACCTAACAAGACAACACACCTGAAACACCTAATAATGACATGACTAGGATAACAGACTAAAATTAACAAGGCACAAACTGAATAAAAGACCAACGACAGAGAAACCACAAACCAGAAACATGACAAAATGAATAACACCGTAACACTATTATTAATTAAATTAATTAATTATAAATTATATATATTTTAATTTTAAATTGTTATGACTGAATTAATTATTAATCGCAAACCCCAGTTTGGGAAACCCTATTGATTTATTTTTATTTAGTGTAGTTTAGCTTAGTTTGATTTAAAATAATTTATTTAAATTCTATATTATGAATGAATGAATTATTATCCTAGTTTTGTTTTGTTAATTAATTTAATTATAATTATGACATTATGACTGAATTCATATTTAACTTTTCACCAACTCACAAACCCTCAGTTTAATTTTTATTTATTTATAATTTTTTGAATGTTGAATTATTTATTTTAATTTAAAATGATTCATTTAAATTTTACATGCTCATGACTGAATTAATTACTAACTTTTCATCAACTAACAAACCCCAGTTTGGGAAACTTCAATAATATTTATTTTATTTTCAAATCTATGTGACAAACGAGTTATGCCATAAGTGACCATAATAGTCTAAATATGTCACCTAAAAGACCTAATCCAACAGATTATGTTGCTAACTATGTTCCTTGTGTAGTTTGTAAGTATTAACGCTCTAAAACTCGTTAGTAATCCACAATCTTCAGTAAATATGATCAGAACACGCTTCGGTTTCTCCAGCGACTTCATCAATAATCTGTCAGTCTGTCAATCATCTCAATGACATCACTTACATTTGCTCGTTTGATTGACAGCCCAGAGGTTTTACCATCAAAAATAAAGCAGTCCTGCGGCGTGTGTGTGTGTGTGCGTGTGTGTGTGTGTGTGTGTGACTAATCAGCATTTCCTAAATGAAGCTCGTCGTGGCGCGGGCCGTCCCGTGAGTTATGGCTGTAAGTGCCGGTCCAGCGGCGGGACAGTATTAATGGAAGAGCCGGATAACCCGACGGAACAGCAGTGCACTGTGGGTAATGCACACCGCACCGGAGCAGTGCACTGTGGGTAAGCGGTCTCAGGCGATCCGGTTTCATCCGGCTCTGGATATGTGGATGCTGGTCCTCACGGGCGTCTCTGCAGGTCTCGTGTGGTTATACGTGTATATATTATGAGGGTTTCCCAAAACTGTGGTTTGTGAGTTGAAGCTAATAATTAATTCATTTAATATGTAATAATTAATAAAAAAATTGTTTTAAATCAAACTAAACTAAAATAAATTAAAATTAAACTAAATAAAAAACTTGAAAACTAAAAAAGATGAAATATTTTATGTGTCGACCTGAATGTCATGTGACGTAAGAAAACCATGAACATGCAAATGTGTTGTAAAATTAAGAAAATATTAATTTTAATATCTCAAGTGAAAGCATTTTAGCTCAAAGAGTTTCGACTGAAAAAATCCCTGCGTTACCTGAACAAACATGAAAATAGCAA